TCCCAATTCTTCTTTTTTTTTTTTTTTTTTTTTCACAGTTGAGAAACCATAGGTTGTATGTTTGGGTTTGTTTTTTTTTAAGTTTAACAAATATCACTGGATACCAAACTGGAAGTGATAAGGGACTGCCTGTTCTTTTCACAAGTGTATTGTAATATGTGGAATTATTTATTGACCGTGCTTGACGCTCTCATTGAAAAAACATTTTTGGCAGCAGGCCTCGAATGCACGTTGAAACGAGTTTGTCTAAAAGCACAGGTTGGCTAATGCATCCTGTGCTTTAGCTGTTGGGATTTGTAGTGTCATCAGATATCTCGGTGTAAAAATGCCATGAAACTGGACATCTAAGTAGACTAAGCTTGATGCAGCTAAGACAAAGCTGTGAATGTTAAGTGCCTTGTTGCTACTCATGGCCCCATTTTGTCTTTGCTTCTGTAGCTTGTTCTCTTCGTAGTGCTCATCCAAGAACCTGCATTTCATAACGTGCTTCACTTGACTAACCTCTGTTTTGTTGAGCCAAGTACTTCTTGGAGCCTCCTTTGCTCCTGCATTTGCGATTAAGCGGAGGAATTTTAAATTGAGAGTCCTGACATGCGAGTGGAAGCAAGGTAATCTTTTTGGTGAAGGGCTCCTGTTGTTTGGGAATTTGTGTCCACCCCTTTGGCTTTTTTGCTGAAGTGCTTTTGGAGTTGGAAGCACCAAGGTTACTGCCAGTTGTTCCATTTATTCTTGATGCTCTTTACAGCTCAGTAAAACATAGATCTGAGAACTTGTCTAAATGGAGTGTCCCATTTCACAACGCAGATCCCAGATGATTAAATGTTTCAGCTGCAGCCAACATGAACAGAAGCTTTTCAAATGGAAAGCTGTCTTGGTTTTCAGTTTAGACTTTGCTGCAGTGTTTGGAGCCCAGACTTTGCAGCATTGTGTATGAGAACCAGTGAATGATGTTGACAAGTGTGTTTTCATTGTCCAAGCTTGAATGGTGAGAATGAAACTGTATTGTTAAATGTTGTATTATCCTAAAATGGAAATGTTTAAGCCTCCTTGTGCATAGTCAAATACTGTACACTTTCGGATATTCCTTTACTCATTTTTATTTCTTCTTCCTTTCCAGGTGGCTATGGTAGAGGTGCAGATAGAGTCCAATACCGCCTACCCTGCAGGTCTTTTGATTGCTTTCAGTGCGTGTACTACTGTGCTTGTTGCAGTTCATCTTTTCGCCCTCATGATAAGTACCTGCATCCTTCCAAACATAGAGGCTGTGAGCAATGTGCATAACCTCAACTCTGTAAAGGAGTCCCCTCATGAGCGCATGCACCGGCACATTGAGCTCGCCTGGGCGTTTTCCACAGTCATCGGCACTCTGCTTTTTCTGGCAGAGGTGGTGCTGCTGTGTTGGGTGAAGTTTCTTCCACTCCAGAACCCTGTTGTTTCAGTCCCTAACACCACTTACACCATGACCCCTGGAAAGGCAGCAGCCATTGCCTCGACATCCATCATGGTTCCTTTTGGATTAGTTTTCATAGTATTTGCGGTCCACTTCTATAGGTCGCTGGTGAGCCACAAAACAGACAGGCAGTTCCAAGAACTGAATGAACTTGCAGAGTTTGCACGGCTTCAAGATCAGCTGGATCACAGAGGCGACGCCATGCCACCTCCTGGCAGTCATTTTGCATAAAACCTGTATTATTTTCTTTTCTTTTTTTTTTTTTTTTT